TACTAGTATAGTACGACTTTCCAGCTTAATTAGAATGAGCACTGATTTTAGAATTTTGGTTGTTGTAGTTTACATTATAGTTGGTTTCGTGTTATACAGATCTAACTATTTCTTCGGTCCATACTTTTTGTATTTCAAGTCCAATCAAATCGATGCATTTTCAATTGGAAATATCGAATTGAATCAGAACATTTTTCTACTGGTGATTGTTTCTTCCTCCATTGGAACTTAAGTTGAATGTCTGTCTTACCTTCCTGCTATAATTTCATTCTTTCAGCCATCCAATTCTTTATGGGTCCGTTAATTAGTCGTATCAAAAAATCAAGCAGCGTGCCAACGTTGTCGGTTATCCTACTCTAGAATGGATCCAGAAAAGCTTGCAGCCAATGCTCTCACTCTCAAATTAACCAAACAACTATATTATTGATCTAGTTTATATATGGATTAATTGACCAGCCGACAATGTCTTTTAAGACACAGTACTACAACAAAATTAGGTTTATATGACGCATAAAATGTCTAAGCGTCTAATAAAATACTTTATAGGACTTGGGTTTATATGACATTTTTGGACGTTTTAACAAGTTTTATAGAAAGTTTTTAAAATAAAGTGTTGTATTAGTTATTTTATATGACATTATTTGAAAATGTATCCTATAAACACATATGTCCTATAAGAGTGCGTTTGGTACACTGGACAGGGACAGAACAGAACAGGACAGGGATCCTTGTCTCATGTTTGGCATGAATTTTATGTGGAACGGACAGGAATAGAGTGAAACAAAGTGGAACAGGCCTGTTCCATCCCTACCCCATGGAACAGGGTGGAACTGACTTATATTTTACCAATATAACCTCAAAATAAAATTTAATTATCTTCTAGAACATCAAATAGGTTTCTCTTTTACATTTATTCATTCTTTAAATTTTATTTATTGTATTTTATGTTTCTTAAACTTTCATTTTATTGTCCTCAAAATACTATTTTTATACGGTTTCTATATTTTTATTAATTTATGTAATTTATTATATATTAATAATAAAAAAATAATGTAGAAAAGAGATAAAAATAAAAATAGAAAACCACATAAACTTTTTATTTGGTGTCATTTTAATTGTTTTGACGAAAACTTCAAATGATATATTTTGTTATAAAAAATAATTATTCTATTATAATTTAATAAATTTCATAAATTGTTTTCTTGATTTTATCACCGTCAAACGTATTGCGTAAGGTTCACGCATGCAATTTGTTGTTTTCTTTGTATGTTTTCCTTGATCAGAGTAGTAAAGATTTGATTTTGATCTTACATGAGTGATTGTATAGGTGATAGGTGAATTCTTTTGTTTTCTGGAATCCAAGTTTTGTGAATGTGATGATACTATATGGGATCACTAACCAAATTGTGTTCTTGATGCTTATATTTTATTTACTATTTGATGTTTAATCCATTTAATTTGATTGTGCGCTTGTTGGTAGTAGTTTTTTCTTAGTATGGAATGCATATAGATTTGCTTCGATAATGGATTCTTGATGCTTATATTATATTTATTTTTTTCATATATCATTAGTGGATTATGAAATCATGTATTTTTGTAAATATATTTTTGCAAGTAGTAGTGGTTTGATGTAAGTTTTACTTTGCACAGTGTATTTGTTAACATTTATGTTGATTATTTAGTGAAAAAAACACTAAACAGCTCATTTGGGGTAAATTGGTCATTTTAATCAGTTTTGTCCAGTTCTTTCATGTCTTACCAAACGTTGAACAGCTGTCATGTTCTGTCATGTCATGTCATATCCTTTGCGTACCAAACGCACCCTAAAAAGATGGGTCTGACATTTCTAAAAGTGTCATATATAAAATAGTTATACGACATTTTATTTAAAAGTGTCTTAAAAAAACTTATTAAAATGAACCTATTGTAACATTTTTAGATAGAACTTTATATATTTGGTTCTATAAATTACTCTCTTATAATGCTTAAATATTTTAGGTGTCCGATAACTTGATTTATCATGAATCATTTGCAGTAACATATTATGGCATATTTCAAATATGGTCAATGTCATTTGTTTTTAACAAAAACTTTAAGATTTGTTGTTTCTCATGTATATAGGCCTAGAAATCGTTATATAAAAACCTCAAATATATCGAATCATCGGATTTGGTTTGTAGAAAGTATATGTACCAATGTCATCCACAATAATCACTTTAGAAGGCCATAGGAGACTAGTAATCCCTTGCTCTATCATATATATATATATATATATATATATATATATAAATTTGGGATCATGTGAGACCAATGGTTTTTCGTGAGACTCGTAAGACCAATTGTCAACCCTTGAATTAGATCTACTATCTGACAATCTAAACATTCATAAATGTCACGAGACTTCTCAATAATCACAAAATTGAAAGATGAAATATTATAAAAAATTTAAGTCATGTAGGGAAGGTATAGCATTTGGAAGATGAAATATTATACATCAAAGACATTCATAATTTAGATATTAATCTCAACCAACTAGGGTTTTGATGATCATTTCCCTTCTCATTTGTTGCTACAAACATTGTGTTAAATACAAGGTTATAAACGACGTGACAATTACGTGGTAGGGAGGTTAAGCCTCAAGTTTTACATGTCATACTGAGAACGTGACATTTTTCAAAGCATGATATAAGACACAAATTTATATGTTTTCTACATATTATTTAATCAGATAATTATATTAAAAAATTTACATTCATGTTAGAAGAAGAAAAATCATTTAAATTATTATTATTATGAAAATAATAATTTTTAAATATTCAAACAACATGATTCCATGATGTCACTACAATAAAATTGGTTTTATAGGATGTCTAGATTGTCTAAGCATCTTAATAGCATACTTTATAGAACTATAAAACGTTTTATCTAAAAGTGTTACATGTGATTGGTTTAAGGACGTTTTAATTTAGACATTTTAACAAGTTTTTTAGGACGCTTTTAAAATAAATTGTTTTATTAGCTATTCTATAACACTTTTGAGAAATGTCTTATAAACTATCTTTTTATAGGACACTTGTGTTTATAAGACATTTTTTTCAAATAGTGTCATATAAAATAATTAATACGACACTTTATTTTAAAAACTTCCTGAAAAACTTATTATAACGCCTAAAAGTGTTTTATAAATCTATTGTAATACTTTTAGATATAACGTTTTTTGGTTTGGTCCTATAAAATATGTTTTCGGACGCTTCACATTTTAGGCATCCTATAAAATCAATTTTTTTGTAGTGTATGTGTTAATTCGTGAAACTTTGATTGATGTAATTAGATAAATCTATAAAATTATAAACTCTAAAGTTGAAAAGTGTAGAAACACGAAATTTTAAAAACTAAAAAAAAAATTTGAAAAAAGTCATGTCTTGTTGAAAATGCACGCCTTATAAAAACGTTATAAATCTTATCGTAACAATGAAGACATTTCTTACTACGCCTTTTTGAACCCTAGTTAAATATAATGATATTAGGGGGCTGTTTGACGATTGTTGAATGGTTTGGTGCAGAATAATTAAGTGGTCAAAATGATTAAGAGGCTCTAATGATATAGTGCAAAATGAAATATAATTATTTAGTAATTGTGTACAATGAAATTAGGGCTCTTAATGGTTAAAGGAGATCCAATATACAAAATCATTAAGAGGATTTTAGAACCATTAAGAGGCAAACTTTTTTTTGGCAAACAAGATTCACCTCTTAATGGTTCAAATGTTGCCTCTTAATGAAACTATTAAGAAATAAACAAACCACCTTGGGTTTAAATAAGTAATGCCTGATTACCAATTGATTCCAGTAACTAATTTAGAAGACAAATGAATGAGTCGTACGAACCCCAGAATCACAAAATGCTTTGTAGATAAGCTTTATTGAATTAATACACCAATTTTGAATATTGAAGGCTTAACCCAAACAAGTTCGAATTTTACTTCGATTTTTCAAAAAGGAAAACCTAAAATGCTTCGAATATATTTTCGATGTTTATTTGGTTTCTTTTGACGAGTTTTTAGATCCCACCAACTCGGATGTGGTGTAAGTGTCATGTTACGTGTCGTGGATTCAATTCATGGTTTTTACGGAAACAATCTATCCATACCCTTTGGGGTAGTAGAAAAGTCGACATACATACATCTTACCCCATTACAATGCTGAAGGTTTTCATCGACGGAAGGTTTTGTTATAAATTCGTCGATAAAAGTGAGATTCATTTGTCATCTGATACTGAAAATCTGTTGATCACCAACACCCGCATACCACCGAAGGGTTTCTGACAAATTCACCCACGGATTACTGATGATGGAGATCATTAGTGACGAATGTTCGAAGGTCAACATTAGCGACTGATTTCCAACGGGTCTCCGACAACCTCTTATTATCAAATATTAATTATGGATGGCATCTATTGCCGCAGGCCTATCCGTTGGTAAGTTGGCCGTTAGATTGGTTTTTTCTTAAAAATAACTTAAAATTCTCATATGTTCATGTATAAACTACGAATAACCTACTTACCTATTTTTATCATCATGGCCCTTATCTTCAACAAAATTATGCATGTAAAAGTGATTAAAATGACATAAACGTAAAAATAAATTTGAAGAAAAATATAGACGAACGCTTAACTCGATTCATAATCAACCATAAGTGAAAGTTGGATACGAAAGAGTGTATAAAAGAAACTTGACTGTGCCAAATGCATAACGAGCAGGTAACAAGCACGATAGTTGACACGGACACTTATACCAACCGCCCCCATAATGCAAAGCTAGAGAAAACGAAAAAATCGAAATGGGTATTTGTAATATCGTTAAGAAAATAACAACAATAACATAAAGATTACTTCTGCATGATAAAGTTGGCATCTTGACTCCTGGTGTGCCTTTGAACCAGAACAGAGCTACTACTTTATATATCAGCTTGTATATATATAAGGCTTCTTTAAGCCCCTTTTTAACTTCAAACCCTTCATGGTTTCCGATTTAAATTATTTCCAGAATCGTACTTTGATCTGGTTCCTATCACCAATCAGCATGTAACTGGCACAAGCTTTTTGACTAAAAGACAGTATGCGATTATGACATTTTGGCCTTGGCAAAGAATATACCAGCAAATAAACCTGTAAAATGAATAAACATGAATTCAGCCTGAAATTACTGTTGCTGGTATGTAGCTACGATCATGTTTATTTCTTACCAAATAGTATGCTGAAGAGATTTGGCAGGCTAACGGGAACATTGAACAACAGTAAACCAGCAATCGAGATGGGAATCTTGTTTAACGAGCCCACCAAGCTGTAATGCAAAAACAGACTTTGATAGAAAACATCGGCCTAAAACATGATCTTTTTAAACTATGATCAGCATAGGTTTCTGTTTGTTGAGTGGGAAAATGTTAAGTTAGAGTCAATCATAAAGGCCATGTCTTAACAACCATAAGAGCATCCACAACCAAGTTTTTTTAAAGTAGTTTTTAAAGAGCTTATTGGCCAGTTCATATATCGAAAAAGCTCCTGAGAACAAATTTCACCTTTCTTCTTGTAACTGTACAACCTCTCAATAAGTTTCGTTTTCTTGGTAACCTAAGCTTGTGGGTCCCACCTTTTGCTAAAAGCTTTACCGCTGTGGATGCTTTAGGCCAGCTTATTTTTTAACTTATTAGAAAAGCCTTATTTGGTTAGCCATAATTGGTTTATAAGCTAGCTAGCTTTCTGAAAAGCTACTTCCAATAGTGTTTTAATAAGCTCTAAGGGATTTTTCCACTTTTTCCCACTAATGTCCCTTATACTTTTTTAATTTAAATTTTCATCATGTCCTTTTAGATCATTTTACATTATAATCTAGCTTATCAATCGGTATTTACCAAACATGACTAGTTTATAAGCTAGCTTATCAGCTAGTTTGCCAAACATAGCCAAAGTGTTACCTGTAAGTGGTAGGACCGGTTTGGTTCAAAAACCACATGGAGGTGAAGCTAATGGCAAGTCCAAGAATCCCACTAGCAGTTGCCACAACCCAAAACATGGGAATCTTGGTTACATCCCTGAAAACCATAAAATCAAACAGATGAGGGTACAGAATACTATTGAACAGTGGTTGTAGAAATAAAGTAAGTACTTACGCGTTGATCACATAAGTCCATTCGCCGAATAGGATAATCAAGAATGCGCCAAATGGTAATGATAATAAATTATTCAGCAACACCATTGAAACTTCATTCAGAGATCCAGATTTTGTCACAGCTTTGGCTGTGTCCATGACTCGCCGTAGGGTAAGCTGTTTGTAGATTATAAATATATATATTTATATACAATCGCAGACATATATGCATACAGGGTCTAAGAAATTACCATTCTATCCTCTTATTGTATTCCCAAGTGCACGAAAAAGATTGAAGCAATGTAGTATAGAATGAAATAGAGGGTGTTCGCGTAAACGACTTACTGAGTAGCTTGCAGTCAGAATGCAATTCACTAGTTGCCATGTGTAACCCGTTGCATCAAACGAGAGATCTGTTATACCTCCAGTTACGGCAGAGATAATCTGCAGTTTTTGATGCCACAGTTAAAACTTCTTGCAAAGATTAGTACAGATTCCACTGAATTCTTCGTGATTAGGATAGATGATACCCAAAACAATACAGATTCTGAAGTTTTAGTTGGTTCCATTTAGTGTATATCAAACTGTATGCAGTCATGGTGTGTTTGGTACGCAGACGGGTTGGATAAGACAGGATGGGACTGGAGGGCAAGAGTGAGGTAGGCTGGTGAAAGAATTGCGGAAAGTTTTAAAGTTTTAATCAACATGGATAGTTTAGTAATCTGCCAATATTGACCCCTCACCTGGTTTCTCATTCCACCTATTTTGGTGGGCCAGTGTTGTCCTGTCCAAGTTTGATGTCACACTAAACGTGGGACAAGAAGTTTTTGTCCTGTCATGTCTTGTCCCACAGTGCCAAAGCACACCCTCAACAAACAAGTACTTGGAGCAAAATTTAGCTTGGCAGCATAAAATTGCATACCATAAGAAACATCGCAGTCCACACTTTTTGATTCTGTCGCTTACGGAATATATATAATTCACCAACTGCTGTTAAAATATTTGTCACATTCTTCAGGATCGTTACCATTGCAATATTTATGTACTTCAAACTGAAAGGATTCGCCAGAAAACATGAACCACGTATGATTAGAGGTTAAATACCGAAGTAAGCATTGATTATTTCAATAAACAAAAGAATCATACAACTCTATTCCCCTTTAGCATGTGGTTTTATTCTGAGAAAACAAGAATTCTTTCACAGATGACATACCTATACATGCCTGAAACAAGCATGCCCACGAATATCAAATTCACAGGTACCCACACCTTAATCAGCTTCCAGTTGAGCTTTTCCAGTGAAACTGCTCCAGATAAACCCAAAATGATAACTATGATAGAACTGATGAGGTTCTGCAAGAATGAAAGAGGAAGGCTAAGCGACACCATTACAAAAAAAAAAACTTCAAGACCAAAGTGAACAAATTATCAAGGGTTCAAAATGGTTGCACCAGCTAACTATGATCTGTAGCGGGCATCATACAAACATAGAGCTAGAGGGGAGGAAGGGAGCTGAAGAAGTAGAGAGTAGGGTTTAGGGTTAATATCATAGTAGTTAGGTTACCAGATCCCTAAGTTAGACTAGGGTTTGTAGTTTCTGCACCTTGGTTATGTTTTTCCTGTACTTGCTTTTGTACTGATATTGCTTACTTATATCCAGCTTTTCAAATTTTTGCATGCATGGTTTTTCTCTCTTTCACGCACTTTTCACAAGCCAAGGGTCTTCACGGAAACGGCCGCTCTACTCTTTGAGATAGAGGTGAGATCTGCGTACAACTTAACCCCCACCTCCCCCCCCCCCAAAAAAAAAAAAAATGACCCCACCTTTTAGTGGGATATACTGGGCTCCTTGTGTTTGACTAGAATATAAATAGATACAAATATATGTACACATATATAGTGAAGTATATGCCATACTTACCTGATAAAACATCAATGATATTCCGGCATCAAAAGCATAACTTGAAAGGACAACTTTGTTGAGCAATATCATGCTGCAAGAAGAGAGACAGTATGCAGATCCAGATAACAGAGGTCCAGATCTAACTTTGAGTTCGTGTGCCCTCTTCTCACTTGTGTCAACATGGAGTTCATCATTCTCATTTGACATGGCCCGATTGCCTCTGGATCTGCTTGAACATAATAGGCACTTCTATCAGTTACCTAAAAAGATTGAATATGATAATTGCAATCGAATGAAATGTGAATTGTGAAGTACTTGATACATCTTTCACATTTTAACATAAGAGATTCAATTATCAAACATGATACAAGGCAGCATCATAGTTTCACCTTTCGTTTGTTGCTCTGCGCTCTGCAGGGGATAACATACCGCTACCTGGTTGATTTCCCTGAGGAAGAAGACCACCAATGATCCTGCGCACCACATTCACCTTTCCACCAAGTGGAGACATCTCAATTGAAGAATTGAAATCCGATTCCTTGACATCGGGATTAATAGTAACATTCAACTTGAATTCGGTTGACATAGATGCAATATACCTGTCACAATATCATTGACGGTATGCTATCAGAAAAAAGTGTAAATCACCATCAAATACTGAACTTCTTTTTTACACTTTTGAGCAGTAGATTTCCCAAAAAAGAAAAGATAGTATCACATATGTAAAAACAATCATTTCTAAAATCATCATACAGTGCATGACAATAACCTACTAAGCTATTAGATTTGTCGATAAGCAACGTTGGGGATTGGAATGAAAAAAGAGTTCAAATTGCATATAATGATTCTAAATGATCTGGAAACTTATGAAAAAAGGGAAAACTTCAAGCACCAAAGCTCCTCGGCTTCAAAGAGTGTTGGAGTTCTAGGTCGGCTAGACTGGGGCCATTACTCTTCAATATATGTTGGAACCTCTCTTCTCTCCTCAAGGGCTCTTTGAAGAGTAGTCTAATGGGGTTCACATATGCTCATATGGTATGAGATCGAGGTCTACCATTATAAGGACCGGACACTCGGGGGTAATTTGTACCCATCTAACCTACTCACAACACTCCCGGAAATTCTATGCCCATCCAGCCTCTGTGGAGGGCACATGTTGGAGTCCCACATCAACTAGACTTCGACCATTTCTCTTCAATATGTATTGGGACCTCTTTTCTCTCCTGAAGGGCTCTTTTGGAGGGTAATCTACAGGAGTTCACATCTTCTCACACAGGGGTTGGGGAAGGAAGTTCTTCTGTGGAGCATTTCCTTCAATTTTTCAAAGAGATTAAAGTCATAACGCGCAACCTTTACCATTTTCTTTGAAGCTCCATTGTTGGTTCCAATAAAAGAGGCAAAAGAAATCGGTAGTACAAGGAAGCAAACAACTGGAATTCAGTTGCAAGTACAGCTCCAGCTGCAGACCGTTGATTATGGAAGTGAAAGTGAATACTCAAAGTGCATCATACTTGATTAACCATTAAGGACTTGGAATTCTTGAAGTAGACAACTACTTTAAGGTACGATCTCAAGAGTACCAGATCTTTTTCAGGATAACCAAGAGTTCCAAAAATTAGAGCTTTTGCCCGAATTAAATCATCAATCAACCACGAGAATTTATGATCAGAAACTCGGTGCTATTAAGACATGAGATCAACATAATCATCCTGAATTCAGTGCACAAAACTATTTCATTTCAATCAAGAACACCAACGTGAACAGAAACACACACCAAACTCATTTTGGTAAAAGGGTTGATCATATCACTCAGTATAAGCTAAATATATAAATAAATATGAGATTCCATCAATGCAATAAGTAAGGATTGAATCGTTATCAGCTGAAAGGGAGAAAACTCTTACCCGAATTTATTCAGATTGTTCGTAAAGGGCTAGAATGCTTGCCTTCGATTACAAAATGCTGATGAACTAGTTCACAACAAAATAACCCACATAAATTCTCTGACCGATAAACCCAAATTAGAAAGAATAAAAAGAAACACTCAAAAAGATCCAATAATAAACAGCAGAAATCGCTGAATCAGACTATAAAAATTAATTCCACGCACCAAACCCAAATTGCTGTGTGAGGCACTCAAAGGGGAAAAGCGAACATGCAAAGGCGTGAAACTGAAGTGCAGTGGCTTCGTAATTTAACGAATACCTTAAGAAACCTCGAGCCGAAAGATATGGAGACATGAAATGGAATATCATCAAGTAGCGAGATTCCAGGGGGGGAGAGGATGAAGCGCCCTTAGGATAAAGGTAAACCGGAATACGGAACTGATTTGAAGGTGGAGACTCCATCGGAAAGTCAACAGAAGATCCCCCATCCTCGATCGCTTCAACAGCAAGTGTTTGTGAATGTGCGCGCTGTATGAATGTGAGAGATTTACGTGTCATGATTAAAATAAGAATTTAAATGGAATAATCTAGAAACAGAATTGTATGATCCTCGCAGATAGCTGTGAAGAGAAGCAAAGTGTTTTTGGTGGGTGTTAAGGGGCAGAGATGAGAGAACTGTGGCAGTGGAACGATGGAAGTTGATGCTTCTCACCGGAAAAAATGGAGCCTTTTTAGCTGATCATTTTGTGTTTTATGGGCTTGGACCTAACGAAATATGTGATTCTAAAAATACAGCCCATACGTAGAAATTCATTTACTGTTGGGTAAAATATATTAAATAGTAACATATTTTTATAAATTTTGATATTATATTATTTTACTTTTAATTTTTCTTATTACAGTAATATACTTTTAAAATATTTTTTTATTAAGACATCATATTTTTAAAATTTTACCAGTTATAGTATTGGTCATTAGGTAACCTTTTAAATTAAATTTACTCATTATATCAGGTTTCTTTGCCATCTCATTGTCTATGTATGTTGTCAACATATACGATAGTGCTGACATAACATTTCTTATTATAACATTGTACTTTCAAAATTACTTTATTATAACATCACAAATTTTTATTACAACATTGTACTTTTAATTTTAATATTTTTATTATTTAAAAATTATAAATTTAATCAAATATGTTTATTAAAAATTATAATATCAGGAATTAAACATGTATATAAAAGATCATTATTTCATCAATAAAAATATTCATAAAAAACCATTTATTCATCGAGTTAATCGTAAATTTCATGGCTTATTTTGTTTTTAAATTAGATTTTTTTAAAGAAGTTCATATAATAGTAACCCCATAATTACCTAAAACTGATATCCTAATCTTATAAATAAAATCACATTACAGGTTATGCTCAAAAAACAAACCATCGTTTTATTGTTATTTAAACTCATTTTTACTCATTCATTCTCACATACATCAGCATCACAAAAAACCCTTTTTTTGTGATACCTATGATGTAATTGGAGCTTATTGGCAAAAACGAATCAATTTAGGTAGTCCTTTGTGGTTCCGGTGGCGACTAGATCAACGCGTTATTGCTGCAAGAGGAGCTCCCATCGAAATTCACTATGAATCTTTGGGGACCTATTATGAGATTTATGGACACTATCTAATAGTAAGAAGTATAAAAAAAGAAATTCTTCATATATATATTCGAACMVCTCTTGGTCATATTTCTCTTTRTCGAGGAATAGACKAAGCCGTACAGGGGTTTTGGCAGGGCTTTTGTAATTCTATGCTACCAGCGGGAATGCGAGTCTCKCCGTTTTAACTAGGACTATAATTGCGGAATTTCTACGTGAATTAACAAAAAAATAGTCTAAGGCATTATTTAACAAAAATAAGTTAGCTTAATTTATGGGTATACGTTTGAATGCACATAAGCTAGCTTTCTGAAACGTTATCTGAAGTAGCGTATTGTCACTTTTTCCAATTATAACTCTCAATAATATTAATTAATAATAAATATAGAATTAAATTAAATTTAACTTTAATTATACATTATTCATTAATATTATTTATTAGTTATTAGAAGTGTACTCGCGCAATGCAACGAGATAAATATTCATTTTAATGTTTAGTTTTTATTCTATGTCTCTATCGATATAGTACGATTTTATATGGTTTTAAAAAAGCGATAATGTTTTTATTTTTGAATGAAATATAAATTTAAAGATAACATACAAATTTGAAAAAAATAAAATCGATATTAGTATAAAATTAACTATTTAATAGTTCTCGTTTTTTTGGTATAACTTCTTTAATTCAAATTTTTTATTATAATTTAATTTAGGTCTAATAATAATTTATTTTTGATTTTATTATATAATTTTTTATAAAGATAATAATTAACATTCTATTAGAATTTAATGATTATCTTAATTATATTTTAGATTTTCTATATTTAAAATAGATGTTTATTTTGTATTTGATAATGTTTATCTACAGTTAGTTACACGAATTTAAAAATGGAGCTTTAATAACCTGTACTTATGCAAAATTACTTGTAATCTTGAATTTTAAGTAATATACATCAATAAACAGTACTTCATGCATAAAAAATAGTTTTTAAGAGTTTATGTCAAATGTTTTATAATATTATATAGATATTAATTATTTTTTAATTATTATTAAATATATTTATTTATCAAAACAATTCTATAATGTTATATTATAAATTAGATTTTTTTTTCTTTTTAAAAATTGTTTTTTTATTAGATTTTTCTCTCAAATAACATGTAAGTTATCACATATGTAACAGGTTATCTTATGCGGTTTCCATGTTATTTTAAGTTTGACACGTCAATAAAGAAAAACGTGTTCAAAAGATAACAGGTTACCTAATGTTATAATGGGTAAATTTTTGAAAGTACGATGCTCTAATAAAAAATATTTTGATATTTTTAATTTAGAGTAAGCTACAAGTTTGGTCCCTGTGGACTGTGGTTTATGCCTAACTATGAAAGTCGTCTCTAGGCTTCAATAAGCACAGTTATCGTCTCTATTGTTTGCATTTTACTTTGCAAATTGTCTCTGATCATTAACTCTATGACATCATGGGACAAAAGAGATTTTTTCTTGTTCCACCTATTTTGGTGGAACAAGATGGGACAAGAATGAGACAGACACAAAAATATTACTAATCTACCATAGTTTCATATATAACCTTAATATGGTATTTGTTTTAATGGTTATCACTGCTAATTTTGTCCGCCACCACCACCGAGATACAACATAAATACAATATAGATTGTTTGCAGAAGAATGAAATGATAACATAACCTAACAATCTTACACAGAGAAGAACTTACAAGAACAACATAAAAAGTACTTGCAAGGAAATGAAGAACACTAAGGTTTTCTTCACACACAGGAGAATAGGAGAGTAGAAGAAGATAGGAGAGTAGAAGAAGAGATTCGATTGCCTTGAGAATGCACTTAGAAATTCTTCCAATAAAGTGTTTTTGCATGGGAGATGCATACTACCTTTTATACTACATTCATGCATTAAATGCATGGGAAACTTGCCACATGAGGATAAGAAGGCAAAGTTTGACTTGATCATTGTTGATATCTCATTTTCATCGTATACTGCGTGCATACAACACTGTTCATGCAGAGACAAACTTTTGCAAAGAGTCAGTCTGTAAGGAGATCGTCTTTGGATGGATTAGTAGCTTCAAACAACTACTTACAAATCTTCGATGCATGAAGATCTTCCTTCAACCGGCTAGTAGCTTCAAAACATCTTCAATCTTCAAATCAGTTACTTTGGATTCTTGGTGAGTAATTTACACAGTTGATTCATAGTACTGCATCGGTGACCTTCTGTCTTCACATTGGATAGTCTTCGATTTTGCTAACGGCTTTAAGTATGTACCAAGAAACTAATATACAAATAAACCAATAACTACTAAGTGTTGATATGATAGATGAACATCAGTGGGTCATCACCAAATCAATAGGTGACCCAGCAATTAGTCTATAGCTGTTAGGTGTATATATTTTCTTGTTTGACCTCTTATAGTCTACTTCAAGAGCAATAGGTCGGACCAACCTACAAAAACGAAACGGTCCCTCCGTAATCAGTCATCCATAATATCAAACACATCATTTTCGTCTTTGGTAAATTTATCCAGAGCTATAGTCATCGTAATCCTCCTATTTAACTACTTCGACCATTTCCAAAAACCTTATAGTCTTTTCGAGGCGTCCAAAGAGTCGATCATTTTTGCATGATTTTTTTTTCTCGTGCACTACCCCTTACAATGGGTTTCGAAGATAAAACTATTTTCTTTTCATGTGGGGCTAACAGTTTTCATTTCCCATCTCATAGAAAACCCTTTTCGCTTTGCTTGGCCTTATCCCTCTCTACATGTATTTTAGTGATAATATCTATATGAACTGTACGATCTTATTTGGTCAAATACCTAGCAAAAATCTCCTATCTTCCTTTCATTACGGTATTTCTGAACAAGTCTATAGGTTTTGATGATATCGATATTGATGAGATTGACAATATTGGTGTTGGTCACAATAACTCAATCAATACAAGAGCTTCTTCTCCTTGACTACCTTCAAATCTCCATTGTATTAATCAAACTAACATAGTATTAGAACACAAGGTTTCTTCTACAATTAACATCATAACTTCATCATGAGGTCCTTCAGTATCAAAATGGCAATCTGCTTTACCTGGTTTATACCATTGATCCCTATTCCTAACGTCAATAAGCACATAATATCAACATCATCACAATCTCTAACCTACCACGAAGCCATTGTTTGAAACTACATAATAGAAATTTCTAAACTATTTTATTTTCTTTGACATTTTTTTTGTAAGGGTGTCCGGGCCAAAGCCCGACTAATCCTCGACAAATTTGGAGGCTAAACATGGCCCCACTTAAATGTCGCCAACACTCCCCTCCCAGGGCTCGAACTCGGGTTCATGACTATGCCATGCCCGAGCCTTTACCACTAGGCTGGAAGGTCTTTGACTTCTTTGACATTTTAACTCTAGAGAAAACAACTCTTGGTATGGATTCTCTTAATTACAAGATTCCTACCTACCTTGAACAACACCTCTTTGAAATCAATGAATTAATTGATTAAATTTTGGTGAGATATTTTTGAAAATTTAAATCAAACCCTTATTAAATTTATGCACTTACTTTGAAACAGACACATAATTAGACTAAATTTTTTAAATTACTAAAAAAATATCATGTTTCTATTTTTAATATATGAATTCTGATATATATAGTTTTAGATATGTACCTAAAAAGGTTATGAAGTACGTATAATGAGTACAAAAAATTTATCGTATGTTGCCCTTAGATCCTACCATGTATATGATATACTCATCGTTACGTATTACTAAACGGTAAGCATAACGAAAACACTGTTGTGGTACAAATTGTTTTTACACCTATGGTTCATTGGATTTTTGATCAACATATGGGTTTTATATGACACCTAAAATATGTAAGTGTTCTAATAGAATGTTTTATAAGATTGAGTTTATAGGACCAAACCATAGAGCATCTGGTCTAAAAATGTTACAATATGTTTATAGAATATTTTTTTGGCATTTAACTAAGTTGTTTAAAATACTTTTAAAATAAAGTGTTGTGTTGGTTATGTTATAAAACACTTTTAGAAGTATCCTGTAAACCCACATATATATATATATATATATATGTATGTATGTATGTATATATATATGTATGTATGTATGTATATATGTATGTATTGACACACACATTGTCTTTAAATAATATTCTACAAAATATATAAAACAACATTTTATTTTTAAAATATTCTTAACAACTCGTTAAAATATCCAAAAATGTCTGTAAACCTATTTTAATATTTTTAAATACAATATTTTATAATTTGATTCTATAAACTTAAGACTTATAAATCATAATATTAATTACAAGATAATGTGTTTCAGATAATGATTTCAAATATTATTTAGTTGGCTTTTTTAAAAATTATAATAATTTTTTTATTAACTTGGATATCAAACCCGTTATGTGAGCCGACTAATCTCAAAGTGATCACTTGCTTTGTGGATAGTCTGGAGTCATCGTATTTGAACCTCTGTGGCCGCAAGGATATTCTTATTTCTTCTTAAATTTGAACCTGTGACCTCCAAACACTTTTAATCTTTGGAGCCCAAATTCAAACTAATCAAACACCGTTCTTGTCATTAATTATTTTCTAAAAGCTTAAACAAAAAATATTGCTAAGAACACTCTTTCATGCATAAATTCCACCATTAATATCCGAGAGACAATGCATAAATATCATGATATATTACTTAAATTTCAACTTTAAATAGTATGCAATTAATAACAGTGTCATTTTATCTGTTTAACTCTTTTCAGCATAACTTATTTTCTTATGCATTAAATTTTGCATCTAACCATTACCAAAAAACCCACTTTTTTCGGCGGATTTCCGGCGGATATGGCCGCCGGAAAAAGTGGCGCCGGTGATTGTTTTTCCGGCGGAAAAACCGACGGATTTTCCCCTTTTTCGGCGGATCACGGCCGCCGGAAATTCCTCACCGGTTTATTTATAAAATCTTGATTAAATTAACAAACGGTTAAGTATTTTTTATTTTTTTTAAAAATTACCGGCGGAATATTCCGCCGGAAATCTTTCTCGCCGGAAAAAATATTAATCTTTTCTAAAAGAATAAATCTTTAATTTTAAAAGATATCGGCGGATATTTCCGCCGGAAATCCGCCTGAAAAAATATATAAATATAAATATTTTAATTTTTTTAATATTTTTATATTACAAACATTACCGGCGGATAAATCCGCCGGAAAAAATATATAAATATTAATATTTTAAATTTATTTTAAAATTAATATTTAAAACCTGTAAATCTGTACAATATTAAAAATGAAAATAAAAAGACGAAATAGAACTAAATATCATACATTAAAGTGAAACTACAATTATTCCAACCAAACAAAAACTAAATTGTTATAAACAAAACTAAATTGTTTCAAAGCAAAAGACAATATTCAATATGGTGGTGGCGGGGAAAAATGTTGAGATTGATTGAGCTGTCTAACCAAAGCAGCCATATCTTGAAGTTGTCTATCATGTTGCTCCTCCCTCTGTCGTCGTCGCTCCACCTCCGCCCGCTGTCGCTCCTCCTCCGCCAAATGTGGCTCCTCCGCCTCCCGCCATCGCTCCTCCTCCGCCAAACGTCGCTCCTCCGCCATCCGTTGGCGCTGACTTTGTTCCTGTAAGTCTCTAAAKCAAATACGGTCCGTTAAAACCCAATACGGTTCATTAAGGCCCAATACGGTCCATTAATCTCCAATACGATCCATTATGGCCCATTACAATCTATTAAGGCCCAATACGGTCCATTAATGTCCAATACGGTTCATTAAGGCCCAATACGGTCCGTTAAGGCCCAATACGGTTCATTAAGGCCTAATACGGTTTATTAAGGCCCAATACGATCCATTAAAGCAAATACGGTCCATTAAATCAAAATACGGTTCATTAAGGTCCAATACGGTCCGTTAAAGCCAAATGTCCGTTAAAGCCCAATACGGTTCATTAAGGCCCAATATGGTTCGTTAAAGCCCAATACGGTTCATTAAGGGCCAATATGGTTCATTAAGGCACAATACGGTTCATTAAGGCCCAATACGGTTCATTAAGGCCCAATACGGTTCATTAAGGCCCAATACGGTCCATTAAAGCAAATACGATCCGTTAAAGCCCAATACGGTTCATTAAGGCCCAATCTGATCCATTAATGTCCAATACGATCCATTAAAGCAAATATGGTCCACTAATGTCCAATACGATCCATTAAAGTCCAATACGGTCAATTAATGTTCAATACGGTCCGTTAAAGCCCAATAAAGTTCATTAAGGCCCAATACGGTCCATTAAAGACCAATACGGTCCATTAAAGGCCAATACGATCCATTAATGTTTTTTAATTTTTAAAAATGATTTTTCTTTGTTTTTTACATTTTTTTATTATTTCTCCGCCAGAAATCCGCCGGAAAAGGGTTAGAAGTTTTTTTAATTTCTTAAAAATAAATTTTTTAAACATATTTCCGGCGGATTTATTTTTTTTAAATTTTCCGCCGGAAATCCGCTGGAAAAGGTTAAAAGGTTTTTTTTTATTTTTTTAAAAATTATTTTTCTAAAATATTACCGGCGGATTTCCGGCGAAAAATTTAAAAAAAATAAATCCGCCAGAAATCCGACGGAAAATCTTTTTTAAATTTTTTTCAAAGATTAATTATTTTTAAAAGATTAATTAACCATTAATTAAGAAATCCGCCGTAAATCCACCGATAATATAACCAGTTTAATTTTTCCGGCGGAAGTCAATAAAAGTTGACTTTTTTCACATCCGCCGGAAATCCGCCAGAAAAATACCGGCGGAAATCATCCGCCGGAAATGCCCTATTTTCTAGTAGTGTCTGTAATTAATTTACTTGCAGAGATATGTAAAATCAAATCTCAAAACCGCCTAAATCAAAATTGATGTAAAATATGTCTGTTTCAAAATCAAATCTACTCCAACACCTATAAAAATAATTAACTCCAAAGTTTGACGAATTTTTAGCAGAAATTTGTATTTAGGATCAGTAACAACATCTTTAACCGAGAAATTAGCTCAAATGACCATTTCTCTCATTCAAATTGGTCTCCGAACCATCTATCCCGGGTTGACTCAAACGTCATTACATATGCAATACTCAAGTCCGTAATAGCTAAAAGACAAAATAAACTGTCAAAAGCAACCAATTTATTGTCGCAATTGTGGACCTCGTCATCACAATTGCATATCTGGTCATCGCAATTGCATACGTGTGTTGAATTTTTTTTGTCTTTAGCTAGGTCCGCAATAGATATTGTGGAAGTAATGATATTTGGATCAACTCAAGAGAGAAATTGTTAAGAGGTCAATTTGAATAAAGGAAATGGTCGTTTAACTCAAGGACTTTTTTTTAATAGTTAAAATTGATCAGACAAAATTTGTATTTAGGATCAGTTTGAATATCTTTAACAAATATGCTATATTTTTTCTTTTTTGTTGAAATTTGGAGATTTTTCTACAATCTCTCAGTTATTTTATCTATTTTAGATGATAGTTTAACATAGTTGAAAACTGCATAAAATCGTATTATGACATCAGGAGACCCAAAATATAAATTGAAACATTAAAATCAAGATACATCTCACTAGATTGCACGAGTACCCTTATTATTATAAGAAAGACAGAAAATTAAATGTTATTAAACATATAAATAACACGGATTATAATGGTTTAATTTATAATTTTTGGAAAAGCTTGGTAAAATTTTCATCATGCCAAACAAAGCACTACAATATTACGAGAAAAATAAAAATAAAAGTAAATACAAATTAAATAATACCCTTTTGACCAGACACAAGTATACGAGTACGACCACCTCAAAAACAACGAATTTCCAGATTTACCCTTCAAATGGTTCTAAGCTGCTGCTGAGACTGAGGTGAGATCGCGTGGGTGCAGGTACACCTTAAGACCATTCTTCATAAACAGCGTCAAAGACATCTTCTGTTCCACCCGGTGGCCGGTAACCAGTGACAACCGGTAACGGAGGAGAACGGCGGAAACCACCGATTTCATCTGCAAGTAAGCCAAATCCTTCCCCAAACAAGTCCTCGGTCCGGCATTAAACGCCACAAACTTGTACCCATCCTTGGGTGGTTCAAACCTGTCTCCGGTTTCCGACAGCCACCTCTCCGGTTTAAACTCCAAACAGTCGTCGCCCCAAACGCTTTTCATCCGTCCCACTGAGTATATCGAATATGTCACCGTTGAACCCGCCGGAACCATAGTCCCGTCCGGTAAAACATCGTCATTGATGACGTACTTGAAATCTTCCGGCACCGATGGGTACAAACGCAGGGTCTCCGCCAAGGCAGCTTTTAGGTAAACCAACCTGTCAGCTTCATCGAATGTCAGAGGATCAGAGATCCAAACGTTTGGATCATCACCACGTGTGTCTTTTAAAACGGTTGTCAACTCGTTGATGATTTTAGCTTCGATTATTGGGTTGTTCATGGTGAGCCAGAAAAACCAACTGAGCGCGACGGAGGAGGTGTCGCGACCAGCTAGAACGAAATTTAACGCGATGCGTTTTAAAACGTGATTAGGGAAAATGTTACCATCAACATCTCGTTTCTTGATGAACCTCGAAAGAAGATCATCTGATGGGTTTAATTTACGAGCAGTTAAGGCTTCAGTCATATAATTTTCGACGATTTGAAGGCTTTTTCTCAGTCTTATTTCTGCACCGATTCCAAAAAGTTTCTTCAACCGCCATAGAAACCCGGGATACAACAGCCGCTGCAGCGTCGCCTCCGTGGCCGAGTCAAACGCCGTAGCAAATGGGTTTTCTGATAACTCCGTGGAAAGGGTTTCAGGGTCTTTACCGAATGTCAACCCGCAAATGTTATCGAACGTCAATCGGAGCAAGAGATCTTGCAAGTCGACGGGGAAGTGTTCTTGAGAAGCTTTTTCTAAAATGCGCCATAATCTTGTTTTGATGGTCCTACTAACCCACCTGGCCATGGCTTGCCGGAGGGTTCGAGTAGTGAATTCCAAGGCCGCCGTCTTCCGCTGTATGAGCCACGTTTCACCGTCGCTGTTGAATATTCCTTGACCTAAAAGATCATGGAACGCCGTTTGCCAGGTGGGCCCTTTAGGGTAGTTATCAAACCGGGTTCGGAGTATGTGTTCGATGTTTTTAGGGTTACACGTGACTGTATAAAACCCTTGTTTACGTGCAAAGAAGGGTATGGCGATGGTGGTGGTCTGATAAGTCCCACCAACACCGGAGGAGTGTAGGTTTCCGGCGATCCAATCATGAATCCGAGACCTGTTTAGGAAGAGAACAGGAAGGCTGCCGAAAAAAGGAAAGACTTTTGGGCCAGAGAGACGACGGGAGAGGTGAAGAAACCATAGGAGATAAGCTGAAGTGGCGGTTACCACCATGAACATGATCATAAGCTCAGCTTCCATGGCGGATTTGGATTCTTTTTGTTGTGGATTTGATGAAGAAAGTGATGTAGCAGGGTTTATATTTGAAGAGCAGAGAGCATGAGAGTGGTGTAATAGAAAAGTTAAATCAGTATTTAGGAGAGAGTTGTTGAGAAAACATATTTTTGGGGTTTGAATTCATGGATCGGGGATCTTGGGTTGATAAGAACTTGTGTCTCCATATATATATATATATATTTCAGTTTCTTAATAAATAATTTTCCACCTACTTTTATTTTATTTTTGCATTTAAAATAAATTAAATGATATTCGTGTTAAATATATATATTCACCAAAAAGGAATTGTTTGAATATATTTCCAAAACAGCCATAATTTCATATAACAGGACACAAGTATAAATAGAAGCTTTAATTATTTCATTTATTTAGGGTTTTATTGAAAATATTGTAGGAAATACGAATTAAATTTATGTTTGTTTAGAGGTGGACTTAAGAAATTTTGCAAGTGTTGGTAAGGTACTAGGGGTGCTTAAAAATCCGACCAACCTGATCAATCCAACTCAACCCAACGTGAAATAATTCAACCTGAAACAACACGATGTCTAATCGAGCTGTAAATTAAATTGTCAAACCGTAGGTATTGAGTTACTTTTATTTGAACCCAACCAAATCCGTATCCTTTTATTTCTTGGATTTAATATGATTATTGAATTTTTATTAATATATACATTAGACAATTACACTATCATGTATGTTTTTCATATACACATATTTTCAATCTATTCACATCTCTATATAACTCATTTATATATATGTTTAGTAACTGTGAACATATATATATATATATGTAAATTGAGAAAATTATCTGAATGTGATATACCTAAGAAATATGGATAAGTTGTATCAAATGCTTGATGATGAAAAAGAAATTATGAGTAGAGAAATAACATATTCAAGGTTAGTAAAATATTTTAATGTATCAAAGTATCAACCCGACTAACCCGACCGACCCAACCAACCCGTACAGGTTGGGTTGAGTTGTGTTGCACTTTGGGTTGAGTTGTGTTGCACTTTGGTTTGAGTTGGGTTGAGTTAAGATTTTTCAAACCGCAAGCATTGGACTGGGTTGTTCAAATGTCTTCAACCTGATCAACCCAGCTCATGAGCACCCCTAGTGGTATAATTTGATTATAGAAAACAAAAATATGTATATTTTTCATATATGAGGTTTTGTGTTTTAGTCTTTTATCTTAATTTTTTTAAAGACTTAATAAATCTGAAATTAAAACTTAAAAACTAAGTAAATGACACAAACGGATTTCGCACCTGCACCTAGGATGGGAGAAAAGTCTTGTTAACCAACTCTACTATAAGGTAAGATTTGTGTTTTTTTATTAGGATTGCACACAGGCAAAATGATACGGTGACACGTTTCACGACTTTAAAAAAATAAACTACGATACAGTAACGAAGCGACACCGTATCCACTAGTGTGGGTGTGCCCCTGTCTCAGTCACTATCATGTATAATCTACTTAATCCATTAGTTCGAGAACAAGAACAAAATGAAAATATATCTTAATTTATTATTTTATATAATCTCGTTGTTTTTTTTATTAACCTGGATATCCAACCCGTTATGCGAGCCAACTAATCCAGAACGACCACCTGCTTTGCAGATAGCCCGGAGTCACCGCATTTGAACCTCCGTGACCACAGGGGGTTTTTTTATTCCTCCTTGGATTTGAACCTGTGACCTCCTGGTACTTTTGACCTTTGAAGTCAAGTTCAAACCAATCAAACATCACCCTTATGGTTTATAATCTTGTTGTGATTAACTTGACAAAATTAGGCTAACAATTACATGAAAAGTAATGTGCATGTGATATAAGCATTAATTTACAATTTTTTTTGCATTCACGTCTTGAAACGAATGTGTTTAACCATATCACATATGATATTTTTTATCTGAAAACAAAAGAAATAACAGCTAATTATCACATGTGATATTCGGTTTTGGGGTAAAACACGTGAATATAAGATAAATATTACATGTCATATTGTTGATAGTAGTTCAAGTTAAAAACATTGATATCTTTTATTTGTGAATCATATTTAACCTAAGTACGGACACATCACCTGATTCTAATTCTGAAACTAAATTCTAACGCCAACAAAATTGAATCTGCATCCCATCACCGGCGTCAGAGAGTTCACTACAACAAAAAATCGGGTTTATAGGACACTCCCAATTTCTAAGCGTCCTAAAAGACCTTTTTATAAGACTTAGTTTATAAGACTAAAAAAATAAAGTGTCATATATAAAGGTGTTGTAATAAGTTTATATGACGTGTTTTTGATGTTGTAATTAGTTTTTTAGGACACTTTTAATATAAAGCGTCCCATTAGCAATGTTATAGGACACTATTTGAAAAACCGTCATATAAAAACAAATGTCCTATAAAAAATTGAGTTTATAAGACATTTTCTCAAAAGTGTTTATAAAGTTGCTAATGCGACACTTTGTATTAAAAATGTACTAAGAAATTTGTTAAGACACCCAAAAACGTCATATAAACTTATTACAATATCTTTAGATAGGTCACTTTATATTTTGCTCCTATAAAACAGTCTATTGGAACGCTAGCTTAGAGATTGGAGGTGTCTTATAAACCGAATTTTATTATAATGGTTGGTGAAAACCCTTTGAATACTTAGATTTCAACTTGGATTCCATGTCATATACGTTGGCATGGAACAAGTCGCAGTTAAGTAATCAAAAATTGCATCGCATCGCTGGCGTTGTTGGTCATTAATTACTCAGATATAATTTCCTTCAAAAGATCATACCACTACTGGACAAAGGTTTTTCACCGACAACCATTTTCTATCGACTATTTATGATGAATCACTGATAAAACAAAATCGTACAAGAATTTGCCGTTTAAAAAAACATCTGTCGATAATCTAAAACTTGTCGATGGATCCCCAATGAAAAGTAAAAATTTATTTTTAGAAAAATTGGTTATTTATTATCAGTCGGTTGTAAGAAAAATGAATGAAGAATATGATGGAATTACCATTAACTAGAAGGGTACTCGTACAATGTAGCGAGATACATTTCTATTTTAATGTTTTGTTTTTTTTTTTGTCTCAATCGATATTATAATACGATTTTATGTGGTTCTAAGAAATTGTAATGTTTTTATTTTTAAATAAAATATAAATATGAAGATATGATAAAGAAAAATTGAAAAAATATATTAATATTAGTACCAAACTAACTATTTAAAATTTCTCTTTTTTTTGTGTATTTCATTAATTATTATTTTTATTTTTGGTTTAATAATATAATTTTTTTTATAAAGATATTAATTAAGTATTTTATTAGAACTCAATGATTATCCTAATTATATTTTAGATTTTTTATATTTAAAATGAGATTTTTATCATTTATTTAATTATGTTTATCTGCAGTTACATGAAGTTTTAATAAGTTGTACTTATATATAATTTACTTGTAATTTTGAATTTTAAGTAATATGCATCAATAAAAAATATTTCATTCATAAAAAATAATTTTTAAAAGTTTTTATCAAATGCTTTATAATATAATATAGATTAGGGATAGATATGAGTTAATTACTGGTTAACTAATTGAACTTAATTCAAACATTAAGTAGAGTACCTTCAATACGTAATTAGATTTGCAGCTTTAAAATAATTTAATGCATGCCAATTTATATATTTTCATTTTCAGTTTTTCTTTAAAAAGGGAATCGATTTTCAAGACCTATTAATTAAATACACTGCTAAATCATTTATCAAGTGGTATCCTAAACCCTAAACATTAAACCCTGATCCCTTAACTTTAAATCCTAAACCCTAAATTTTTTATATGATATTATTTAAAAAATGTCATAGTGTTTCATATAATATCCTAAACCCGATTGGGAGCATCTTTAACGGAGGTCAAAGCGGGCTGCAAACTCGCCCCATGTGTTTTTAAATGAATTTCATCATTTCGAGAGATTTTTTTAATTTTTTTTGTTGATGTTCCTTGTATTTTTATAATATCCTTGAGCAACCCCTCAAAATATACAGTATCCATCTTTCATACCCTAAAAATTTCTACCTGTGAAAATCGGTTGAGCAGTACAAAGAACCCACCCTTGTACGACATATAAATGATGAGTTCGAACTCAGAATACCATCAAACTAGACGCTTTCTATTCACTTAGATATCTGTATTTATCTCTTTAAAGCCATAGAGACAAATGAGATTAATTTTAAAAAGTAGTAATCTCCATTGTTTCAATTGATCGATATCTAATCGAGTCATTAAAACGTATCGATTGAGGATTACAATCTCAATGTTTACATTATATATGTGAAGTTACGTCTAGTTTTAAGTTAATTAATTCCCATTCTTTTTTTATTAATCTGGATATCCAACCCGCTATGCGAGCCGACTAATCCCAAGGCTATCACCTGCTTTGCAGCCCAAAGGCACCGTATTTGAACCTCCGTGGCCACAAGAGGATTTTTATTCCTCCTTGGATTTGAACCTGAGACCTCCTGGTACTTTTGACCTTTGGAACCAAGCTCAAACCAATCAGGCATCACCCTTGTGGTTTTAATTCTCATTCTTTGCATCATACAATCCCATATTACGAGTTAATTGAAATGTACGGTTTTTTATAAGTTTTGGTGGTAACGTAATTAACGGTTATAGTTGATTTTTAGGTTATCAAGTCATAAAGATGAGTATTAATACAACCAAAGCATTTGGTAGCGGTTTCTGGGTTCTTTAGCCTCCGGTATGTTCAAACGTTACCAAATTTGGAAGGAGTGTGTGAGTGTATTTGTTACATTTTATATGTGTGTATATATGATATAAGATGAGAAATACATATAGTGAATGTGTATATATATAAGAGGGATTGGGGGAGTAGATGGAAGCTGGTGGAAGCAGTTAAACAGCAAAGGGAAAAACAGGTTGAGGTTGATATAAACAAATGACTAAATTGGACACCAAGCTTCAAACACACACTACTAAGCTACTTACTTACACTCGTAACTGTGTGCGTTGATTCAGATTTCTTGTGGAAAAACCACAATATATCTTAATATAAACATAATTTTGATTTTTATTAATTATAAGTTCATCATTTTCGTATAAAAACTAATATAATCTTAACTTCCTCTACAATATACATATATATATATATACATATATATATATATATATATATATATATATACACTTGGGATCATGCATGTGAGACAAGGTTGTTTTTGTGAGACACGATTTTTACATTTGAAACTTCACAGTAGAACATTGTGAAAGTAACCTTTACAGTAAAGGTAACTTTCAGAGTGTTTTTACTGTGAAGATTCGATTTTTTATCTTCACAACATTTTCTTACAAAGTTTTAAGTGTAAAAATCATGTCTTATGAAAACAACTTTGTCTCACGTGAACCAAATCCAATATATATATATATATATATATTATCATATGTAGCAAAATCTATGAGAAAGATAAATTGGGTAACGGGTGAAAACAAACAAATTTTGAGAAGCATCAAAGTGAGTCATAGGCAGATCTAGTTAAGCACGTGCCACCGTATTGTTTCTCCATTGTAGGGTAAAAAATTTAGGTTTCGTGAACAGTGCAATCGTATTCATTTGTTGTGTGTCATCATATGTATTTTGAAACTACAATGAGAACAAGTTTTATTTGGTAGAGTTTGTTTGTAAGGCTTTTATTCCACCCCACACTCAAGTCTGAATCACGTTAGTGTCATTTTCTTAGTCAAACGATGTCACCATTTGAAAAAAAATTATATATATTTTTTCTTATGGTCAAATGGTGTCACCGTTTAAAAAAAAATTTGGGTCCGTCTCTGAAGTGAATTCAATTGGTTCGGTTTGACCATACCATCACTTATCATTGATTTCTTAAATTTATACTAGAAGACTACTCGTGCAATGCAACGAGACACATCTCGATTTTAATGTTCTTTTTTATAATTTGTCTTTGTTGATGTTATAATACGATTTTATGTGTTTTTAAAAAAGCAATAATGATTTTATTTATAAATAAAATATAAACTTGAAGATATCACAAAATTTTGAAAAAAAATATATTAATGTTAATATCAAATTAACTATTTAAAAGTTCTCAGTTTTTATGTAATTTCTTTAATTTATTTTTTATTATAATTTAATTTAAGTTTATTAATGAAATAATTTATTTTTGGTTTAATAATATAACATTTTATAAAGATAATAATTAAGTAT